AGCCACCCAGGCGCCCTGAGTTTTATTTTTTTAAACCCTAAATGGGCTTGGAATTTCATAATTTTTTTCTACAATTCAAATAATCATATATGTCTTTTCCTTTAAATCTCATGTGGTATATTAATAGATTTTCTGATACTGAACTGTCTTTGCATTTTTGGGGTAAACTCTTCTTGGTCATAAAGTATTTTCAAAGACCCCACTTAATTATATTTGTTAATATTTTATTTAGTACTTGTTGGCATCTATGTAAATAAGTGATATGGGTTTATTATTTTCCTTGTGGTCTTCGCTTAATTTTAATATCAGGGTTTTACTATTCCTACCAAAATCTTTTTGTTATCAAATAAAAAACAGGTTGCATGAGAGAAGAATGAACTGTTCCTTGAAGTTTTGATAAAACTCATCTGTAAAACAATTTGAAATGGTGCGGGGATAGATTTTGAATAGTTCATTAATGTATATTTGTTTATTCAGATTTTCCATTTCTTAAGTCATTTTAGGAAGTTTTCTAGACTTGATCATTTCATCTAAGTTTTTAAATGCACTGGCATGTATTTCATATTTTATGAGAAGTTGTATCCCCCTCTCCCCCCACTGCAATCATGCCTCCCAGCCTCAAGGTCGTATCTTATGACTTTTTGAACTTCTCTGTGGTTACTTCTGTATCCTAATATTATTTGTTTGTGACATTGCCCTTTAACCTCCTTGTTTTGCTAAATATTTTTGTAATTTTAAGTTCTCCTCTCCCCGGCAACTAGCTTTCTATTTTATCGATACTAGTTTTTTTTTTCATTCTAGTATAGTCTGTTCTTTACATCCTTTTAAACTTTATGATTAATAACTCCTGTCATTGATTTTATTTTTGTTTTAAAGAGGCATTTGAGAATATAAATTTACCAGTAGGTACTTTTTTGGGAGGTATCTGTGGTATTTTTATTGTTACTTTTAGGGTTAACATCAGCTCTTTGAAATCTAGTAAAGCTTAGTTTGGAATCTAGTTAATTATAAATGTTCCTTATGTATTTAAGGGAAAAAACAACTTTATTGGGCATGATGATTTTTCTATATTCTATATAAATATTGTTAATTGTTTGCTTTTACTAAGTTATTACTAATTTCTACTGATTTTTAATTATTACTGACTTGGGTATATTAAAAATTTCCACTGATTATGAATCAGATTCACCTTGGAATTCCCAATTTTTCTCCATATATTCTGAGGCCATTTTATTGGTTGCTTCTGAGTTCATGATTATTATATGTTGTTGGATTATTTCATATACTATGTAGTATCTCTATCCCTATTGCTTTTTTGTTGAAAATTCCATTTTTGCTATTACCACATCTACACTGACCTTCTTTTGGCTTATAGTTACCACTTTTTAAATTCAATAAGAAAAAATTCTGATAAAGCTAACATTTTAAAATAGTTCACACATCCTGGGCGCCTGGGTGGCTCAGTTGGTTAGGCGACTGCCTTCGGCTCAGGTCATGATCCTGGAGTCCCAGGATTGAGTCCCACATTGGGCTCCCTGCTCAGCAGGAAGTCTGCTTCTCCCTCTGACCCTCTTCCCTCTTATGCTGTCGGTCTCTCATTCTCTTTCTCGCTAATAAAATCTTAAAAAAAAAAAAAATTTTAAATAGTTCACACATTCAAACCATCAGGCTATACCAAAAATTTTTCCTTTGCCTACTGGGACTGAGGCCTGATTATGTTTTGCTCAACAATGATATTCTAAGATCTATGCTTGTTTCCGTTCCCACCTTATCTGAGCTTTTTGCTTTAAATGGGTTATTCTCTGAGAAAAGTATCATTTAAAAGACTTGATAAGGGAGCATTCGTTTACTTTAATTTTTTTTTTAAGAGGGGGAGAGAGGGGAGGGGCAGAGGGAGCCAGAGACAGAGAATCTCAAGCGGGCAACACGCCCAGTGTAGAGCCTGACCTGGGGCTCGATCCCATGAACCTGAGATCATGACCTGAGCTGGAATCAAGAGTCAGACGCTAGGGCGCCTGGGTGGCTCAGTCAGTTAAGCGTCTGCCTCTGGCTCAGGTCGTGAACTCAGGGTCCTGGGATCGAGCCCCACGTCGGGCTCCTTGCTCAGCGGGGAGCCTGCTTCTCCCTCTCCCTCTGCCTGCCGCTCTCCCTGCTTGTGCTGTCAAATAAATCTTTAAAAAAAAAAAGAGTCAGATGCTTAACCGACTGAGCCACCTAGGCACCCGTTTCTCAAAATTTTTTATGGAGTGAACCTACTACTGTGTTTTGCACAAAGACTATGCAAGATAGCAACAAAAAGGTTTTTCATTATTTATTAATTTTTTTTTAAGATTTTATTTATTTATTCATGAGAGGCAGAGAGCAAGAGAGAGAGAGAGAGGCAGAGGGAGAAGCAGGCTCCCAAGGAGCGAGGAGCCCGATGTGGGACTCGATCCCAGGACCCTGGGATCATGACCTAAGCCGAAGGCAGACGCTTAACCATCTCAGCCACCCAGGCGCCCTCATAATTTATTTCTATTGGGTAGATATTGTTGGAATTGTGGTATAGTTGGAGTTGATAAAGAACCATGTATTTTTTTCTCCCATAAAACGTCAGATTTACCAGTTTTAGATAAACCTAAAAAATGTATCCTGTTAGATAAAAACATTTTCTGACAACTTATTTTCTGACAAGAACTTTTTCTTCTCCGTGGATATCTTAACCTACATAGCCTGGAAGTTGAGTGCATTTCCCCAAAACCGTGTTATTGGTAATGGCTGTAATCTGGACACTGCCCGTTTCCGTTTCTTGGGCAGAGGCTTGGTATCCATTCTGAAAGCTGTCATGGGTTGGTCCTGGGAGAGCATGGAGACTCGAGCAGTAAGCCTGAAAGCACCACTGAACTGTTCATTCTCTGAAATATATTTAGACGTTATTGACCATACAGAGATTTCATCATAAAGTAAAATAGCTCCTGAGTGGGGGGGGAAAAGGACTTATTCCCCTCTAGACCCTTTTAATAGTGGATTTAAGCACATTTTAATAATCTACCAGAAAAACTCAGATTTGAAAAAAGTGAGAATGTTACTATAATCAAAAGACTTTCTTAATGCAGCACTAAGTAACATGATATAGTTTATATTTAATTTGGGACACTCTAGAAAGTTCAGTACTGTAATGCAAGTAACAAAATTAAAGAAATATATTTATTTTAGAGCGAGAGTGAGAGCTTGAGCACAGGAGGAAAGGGCAGAGGGAGGGGGAGAAAGCGGACTCTGTGCTGAGTGCAGAGCCCGATGCAGGGCTCGATCTCACGACCCTGGGATCACTACCTGAGCTGAAATCAAGAGTTGGACACTCAACCGGTTGTGCCACCCAGGCGTCCCACGAATTCTTTATATTAGCTGGAGAACATTACAGGGAAGAGGACAGGTGCTATGGTGATGGTAGTCCTTTTTTCCTTAGTTTTTCCTAAGAACCCTTGAAATCCATTCATATAAAGGTTTATACTTATCTGTAGTTGAAAGTTTAAAACTGTCCCACTTTCTTGTGTGGAGAATCTCTGCCAAGAGGATAGAATTATGGGCCCTATGCCTGGGGAGATCTTAGTTTAGCATATTTGGGGCAGGACTTAGACATCTGAATTTTTTGTTCTGTTGAACATTCCTATTTGAAAGACAGCACAATTATAACAGTTTTGCTAAAGCTTAAAAAAATGCTGTTATATAATACCGTGTAATAAAAAGATTTTTTGGTGTCTTTTTCTTGGTTCCTGTGTGGAGTGGAGTGAACATTGCTGGGGTCTCTCTGAAGGACCTGAACTTAGATATAGGAACTGATAAAGATCCTGAGCAGTGGGGAAATGTCCACAGAGAAGTAGTTGCCAGGTAGTATGTTCATTTTGCATTTTCAGTCCCTGGAAGTTAGATGTGAGCCTGAGTTCTGCCAGGGGGATGAGATTAGCTCAGCTCCATTAAGTATACATTGTTTTATTTCCCACACTTTTCATTAGCTCACCAGTCAGGGACTGAGTCTGTCTCACTCCTTGCTGAGCCTAACCCTAAACACAGCAGGCACTCACTTGCTGACTGACAATATAGTCTTTGTTAATGGTAAAATTGATTTCATATTAATTTCTGTATCTCTGTACTTACCCTCATGACTGTTTACCTTAAATAACCAACTGATGTAAGAAATTTCTAGGGGACATTATTGATGGAAACATTTCAGTTTTGTGGCATTGTCCAGATAAGCTGCCACAAAACAGATGTTCAGTGACAGTTATTTCTTCAAAGTTAACTTAGGTTCATGATTTCTTCGAACTCCACAGTGGCTATGAGACGACTCCTTTCTTGGGGCTGTTTCCCTATCTGTAGCTGATTTAATGGAAAGTATTTTGAAGAATCTTAGGAGACCACCATAAGTAAGGTAAGATGTTCATGTTTGAAAAATCATTTAACATTAACATAAAATAGGGGTAAGAGAGCATTTGTGAAGAACAATTAATTTTTGAGGTTGATCTTTTTCAAGCATCTCTCCTCCAAAAGTCTAGTCTTTGCTGCTGCTGAAGAGACAGAGAAAGGTGTGGTGTTGGTGGTAGAGGGACTTATCTTTGTAGACCTTTGTCCTGGTATTTATTACATTCAATTGCATAAAAGTAAGTTTTTTTGCATGTTTAACTCTACAAATATCTGCTAACATTGGGAACCACTGTGGGTAGGTCTTGCTCCATTTGAGTTGTTTTCTAAGATTTTCAATTATGTCCAATGGAAGGACCTAACAAAGAAGCACTAGTTAACAAAAGTATTAGCAGTTAGTCTCCTGGAGAAGGGGAAGTTGAGGCCTGGGTAAGACTCCCCTGCTAGTCTGAATGTGACAGGCTAAAGCAAAATGGAATCAAATCGTTGGGAATAAAGTAATAGGAATTTTGAAGTGATTCCCCGATAGGAAGTGATCTGGGGTAAGGAGATAGGAAAAGGAGAGAGGTTCCCAGCAAACATGGCCCCATGTGGAAAGATGGCTGGTGAATTTGAACAATATGTCTAACCATCTGTTTTATATTGTTCTCTGTCCCGTTGGTCTATTTTTCTGCCATAATTCATACCACAAAGCCGTGAAATACTCATTCACTCAGCAACTGTTGTTTTTCATGTTGCAGACCTTTGTAGGAAAGAAAGGAAGGGAAGGAAAGGAAGGAAGAACGGAAGAAATAATTATTAAGCCTTTACTTTCAGGGCCTCTATGGACTAAAAGAAGTATTCCTTAGTGTTCCTTGTGTCCTCGGAGAGAATGGCATTACAGATCTCATGAAGGTAAAGCTGATCCCTGAAGAGGAGGCTCGTTTGAAAAAGAGTGCAGAAACTCTGGGAAATTCTGAAGGGGCTCAAGCTTTAAAGTTGCTTAAAGCTTCCATTCTGAAGTTAAGGAAGGAGAGAGAGTAGTTATAGGATTAGATATGTCAAAATCTTGACTAAACTTGAATTCCTAAAAGTGGAAAAAGGGGGCAACAGTGACTTCTCTATTTAGCCCTCCAGCTGTTTGAGCATCCAGATGTTGGATGATACTTTGTGTTTACAATTCCTACATGATTGCAGTTCTTGCCCATGTCTATGTGTTTATATATATATATATTTGCCATTTGGTTCAAAAGAATGAATGATGTGTGTGTATACTGTGTTTACAGAGATTCTGATTCTTTTTTCTGGCTGGTATGTTCATTGATACACTATAAAAAAGTTGCAACTTTCTCTACAATGTAAAAATGGATGTATACACAAAAACAAATGGTAGTTCCAATCCTAATACTAAATTAAACCTTGATTTGACCTTGCTAGCTTTTATTCTAATTTTTTTAAGATTTTATTTTTTTAAGTAATCTCTACACCCAACATGGGACTTGAACTCGCAACCCCAAGATCGAGTCGCACGCTCCACCAACTTCTGATAATTTTTATAAAAGATCTAAACTCTATAAACCCTTCAGTGATGACTGAGACCAAGGTGGGCATTCTTTTCTTTCACAGAAAAAGTCACTCAAATCCCTCAGTTTCAAATATTTCAAGTTAGAATTCTATGTGGTATATCCCATATTAAAGTTTATATGTTACAGAATAAATAATGCTAATTTTTAACTTGATGGATATTATGCTTTGTGAAATAAAAAACCGAGCTTATTAATATTTAATTTTTCCTAAAAATGTTCAATAAAGAGAAAAATTATGCAACAAATTTTATTTAGCATAGTCAGTCCCAACATTCAGCACAAAAAGTTTACAGAGGATAGAAAGTGCATTAATAAAAGCCAGTCTTTACCAAAAGAAAACAGAAAATATATTATTGATTCAAAATATTTTACACTCGAATGATAAACTGCAATAACTTATTCTGGGCACTACTGATAAGAGAAAGAAAGAGAAGAAAAGAATGCTTTAAGAAGAGCTCAATCTCCAGCTGATATCAGAGAAGTCAGTAGAGGTCACTGAGACCGGCAGTCTTTCTTGCTTTTTGCATTAGTGCCCTCAGCTGGAACTGTTTACGGGACAGAAGACGTACATGCTGGGAGGGGGGAAAAAGTTTCAACAGTTTAGAATGGATTTGACCCAGGCATGAAGTATCAGACAGTTTGTAAACTAGATGGGATCTAAGAACCCTACACTCATTGTCAACCTTCCTTTGGAACCAATACTTTATGACATATGGCTTTTTAAACTCACTAGATTGATGCTGGCAGGTTATATAAGGAAAGTTACCTTCTGAGACTCTATAAAGGATTACGTTACAGGGAAAGCATGCCATTACAGGATCTGGCTCAGGAGTTTGAACTATACCTTGAGATAAACCAAGACACCAGGGAAACTTGAACTGTGATCCTATCAAAAGTTACATAAAACTTTGATAACTATGACTATCCCCAGTTGTCAAAAAGCAGGGAATGAGCAGCATAAGCCAGCTTTTGTCCCATGGCTAGCAACAGCATCTCTCTCTGGCCTCTCTGGGTGCACCTTTCCCTAAGCTCTGGCACCCAAGCAGGGGACAGTATATAGAAAGGGAGTCTGGGGTCTCTGACTTATACCCAGACATTCATGTGCTTGCACCAGGCCCAAGACTGGTTTGGCCACTTAATCACAGTGAGACAGACAAGATGAGTAAGTGACCCGACCAGCCTCGCACGTTTACTGAAGCACCAGCCGCAGCGGATCAAATATCCAAAGGGCGGCCACTATTACTTCTAAAACCATGCTCTTCGTGACCCAACAGAGAAGAGGAGCCAGAACTGGCTCCCTGGGTCTTCACGTTCTGTGCGACGGCAGTGAGCCTGAACAACCTTCATTCAGAAGGGCTGTGGTACGAGCAGGACAGCTCAGTACTTTGCAGGGCTGTTTGATCTAGGAAAACGGGTCTAAAATTATGCAATTCTAAGAAAATTAATAGGAAAAAAACAAAACAGAATCTCAAACGGGTGGGGCAGTCAGCGATCTTAATTTGGATGGTGTATGACCTGAAAGAACCAACGGAAATCTGACTGTTCCTCCCGACCCACGCAGGCCCGGCAGTAAGACTGAAGAATTACCTTCAGCTTCGTGCTGCCAGGGGGGCGGGGGCTGCAGCCACTAGCGCACCTTCCTTCCCCTCCCAGATGGAGCCTCAGCCCCAGAGCTCACTCGCACTCTCTGGGAACACAAGGAATTTTAACTTCTCCTACACAGAAACCCTCTTGGTTTGTGGCTTTCAAGGTCAGTGCCTCTTTTAAAACATGAGTTCTGAGCTCCTGGAAAGCAGACTGAGGAAGACGTACCTTCAGGAAGACATCCAGATCTATCACTCCCCGCCTCAAGGCCTCTCCCAGGTAAAAGATAGTGTCTTCAATAGCATTTTCCTCTGCATACAGATTTAGGATCTGTTTGTATAGTGGGGCTGTGGGAATGATAACTTCGTCAATATCATTGTTTTCAGACTGATTTTCCATTTTCTCCAGAGCAGAACTGAGTTCTTCATCCTTCTTTCTCAAAAGTTCTATGTTTTTATCAACCTCAGCCTGAAAACAAAACAGTCCAAGCATGATGACTTCATACTAACTGTACATAATTATCTGCTGGTCAAAAATCTACAACTCAATTTTACAGAAACAGACCCGGGAAATAAAAAAGCGATACTTAAAACAACTCATGGTTGAGATTGTTTCAAACAACATCCTGGCCAAAGGTAGAGGAAAAAGGGTGATGTAAGATGCTGAGTGAGAACAGAATAACGTTGAAAATACCCTGAGCTGAGCACTTCCAGTGGCAGTGATAAGTCTGTCACTTAGCAGTGGCAAATGATGTTGCAAACTAAGCCATCAGACAAGATACCGTCCAGCAGGAGGGTCCTCACATGAAAATCGTAAAAGAGGTTTTTCTTCCAAACAAAGGGGCCGCTGCTACAGAGGGATAGCTTCCCCCAGTCTACACAGCTTAATCCACAGAACCCCAAACAGCTGAACTTCAGTTACAAGTTACTGTAGGTGGCGGGTGCAGGCTTGGAATTGTCCTGGTGTTGCTTTCCTGAACTTTTAAAAATCGCAGGCTACTACTGTGAAGCTGACTTTACGCCCTAGAACCATTTTGTAAGACGAATGTGCACACACAAACCACTGTCCCCAGGGCCCTCAGACACATTTGTTGGAATAAATTCTCCTTCGTGGGAAGGAAAGTGGCGAGTGAAGCTGGCACTTAAATCATGCCAGTAGGCCTCTTCTTCATTAACCAAAAAAGTCATACGGGCACAGCAGTCTGATAAAAATGTGAGAAAGTTTAAGAGCGAAAGGCTGCATTAGAGGGCTCGCTGAAGATGCTTTGAATATAGTTCAAATGACATCTGGAAACAAAAAAGAACTGACCCTTAAGTCTGGACCCACGGTCTGCAGATCTTCATCAGGGCTCAGAACTCTCTCAAATTCTTATTTCCTGGCAACTGTCTGGTAACATCAAGCACTGAAACCACCCTCCCTTTGAGTCAAACCTCACCCCTCAGGGTGAAGTTAGTGCAACGAAAAATGTTCTAAATACCCTCCAACTGCCAAAGACCAAACTGCCAACCCAGGCCCCACGTCTAACAAGGCTATAGAGAAGCTATATTCAGATGCTTAAAGGCATGCATAATTTTCTGAACTCTTACTGGACCCACAACGTCCAGGGTGAAAAAGGGGTAGATATCTAAAATTCGCAACTATTCAATGAGTTACTTACTACTTCTTGATCTAAACGGGTAACCATCTCTTCCAGTTTCTGATGACCTTTTTTCAGGTCTTCCTCTGTTCGTTTCAAGGCATTGAGCTCTGCCTGGGCACGATCCATTTCCTCTTTCATCCGCCATCTCAGCTTGTCACTGACCGCTGAGATAAGAGAGGCTCGGATGGTGTCCTCGCTGATGGTGCCGTCCCGACTGGGACCTGCAGGGGAAAAGGCAGAAACCACTGGCTTAATTTCCTAAGCACTTTCTATTCCTTTCACAGGAACCTTCAGAAAACAGGACAAAATGAGTTGACACTTTCAGAGTGGGAGGAAAGAGAAATTTTCTAGTAAATGTAAAAATTTCATCAAAAATAACATTAAAATCTGAGTTGATTCAGAAATACTTTCCCTGCAAGAGGTTACTATGAATCCCTATTTACCCGCCTTTTCTACTGACCGCTGAAATAATCAGCTCTCTTCTCAATGAGGCAGGGGCTGTGTCCCCACAGATTACAATTATTCCCCAATCTCCAACAAATGGGACAAGTTTATACCAAAGAAAAACATTTGATTCAGGTCAGGTGCATTCTCCGGTTTCACTGCTAAGGTGAGGGAGACAGAAACCTACTGCAGAGGCCAGTAAGAGGACTGAACAGGCAGTTTCCTTGGTGTAAGGTTAATAAGGCTTCCCTTCTACAAGACTTTTACTCCATTACCCTTTACCCAAAGAGGAATGAACAGATGAGCAAGAGAGAGTGATGTACAGAAAATTCAACAGCTGATAAACTTGTTTAGTCTCAGATTCTTTAGTATTCTCTTCAAAACATCCCTTCCTCATCAGTGTCTTATAGAATTTCCTTGCATATTTCAGATCAAATAAACTTATCCCTCTGATATTTTCTTCAAAAGGTCCTCCCAGTGACAGAAGTATGGTACGGTACTCTTTAGGACTATCGGCGTTCTTCAGTTAGGGTCCTAATTCAGCAAATGTGTACATGGTATTCTGATTTCCAATTATGTTTGATGACAGAATATCATGTGGGGAATTATATTTATCTGTCACTGCCTACAATGATTAAAAAATGATTACAGACTGGGCGCCTGGGTGGCTCAGTCGTTAAGCGTCTGCCTTCGGCTCAGGTCATGATCCCAGGGTCCTGGGATCGAGTCCCACATCGGGCTCCC